CTTAGCTTATTAAGCTAAGTCAGCTGCGCTGACACTCGCCGCAGGCGAGTGCCGACGCTCAATACGATATTACCATCAATACGATATTTTTTCGCAACTCCATTACTTTAATCCTCACTTATAGCCCCCACAATGGCTCAATCTCAAGCTTCAATTAATGATCGTATTACAGAGATCTTGGAGTCTATCAAAGATATCTCGAAGCCCAATTTTAAGCAGCTTGCGCGTGAATACGGTGTTCCATACCAGCGATTACTCGCCCGATCAAAGGGCCGCCCAACACATTCTCAACGTCTTTCTGGCACCCACAAGCTTGCTAAGGCGCAAGACCAAGCGCTGTACGATTATATCGCACGCCTTGATGAACTTGGCGTTTGTGTACGACTGCCTATGATTGTATCGTGTGCCAATTATCTTCTTCAACAAGCTCATGATAGTCCTGGTCCTCCACCAACTGCAAGCTCGCGATGGGCAAAACAATGGCTTAAACAGCAACCCGAACTTCACGTACGGCGACAGAGATCACTTAATCTCAATCGCGCACTTGCGCATGACTCAGGCTCTATTATGGAGTGGTTTGACACCTTTACACACCTAATTCAGACGCATGGCATCCCACCGTCAGATATCTGGAACTTTGACGAGACTGGCTTTCGCATTGGAATCGGAAAAGACCAGTGGGTTATTACTTTTGAGCCTCGCCGCCGTGTCTATTTACCAACGCCTGATGATCGTACATCATTAACTGTAACTGAGTGCGTCAACGCTGCAGGCCACGCTATCCCACCAATGATTATCATTGAAGGCGACGCGCTCCTTGAGCGCTACTTCACTTATTTGCCGGATAACTATCTGATCGCGTGTAGCGATAGTGGCTATACAAATGATCAATTAAGCCATGAGTGGGCAAAGCACTTCGTACAACAGAGCCAGAAGCATACTCAAGGGGTATATCGGCTGCTTCTATTTGATGGATTTGATTCACACTGCACCCAAGAGTTTCTAGAAGTCCTTGAGGATCACAAGGTTATTGCCTATCGGCTGCCTCCACATACATCTCACTTTCTCCAACCACTTGATGTGGGCTGTTTCCAGCCGTATAAGTACTGGCACGCGCAGGCTGTTGATCATGCAACCCGAACAGGCTGTACAGCTTTCAACAAGGTTGAGTTCTTGGCTGCTATCGAGTCAATCCGCGCCTATACATTCAAGCCCCGTACGATACAAAAAGGCTGGAGGGACTCAGGATTATATCCATTGGATATTAAGCGCGTCAAGAGTAATATACAGAGAGATTTTGCTGATTGGGATGCTGACTGCCAAGATACTGGCAGTAGTAGTGATAGTAGTGATAACACTACTGTGGATGGAACACCACCACCACCACCAGAGCTGAATACACCTCTGACAGTCCGGACGCTCAAGCGCAATATTGACTATTGTCTAGAGAATGAAGAGCTTAGCGAGAACGTAAAGCGTACGCTGTTTGGAGCGTATAATATATCTGTTGCTGGAGACCAAGCGATTGGTGAGTTGCGCACCATGACTTCAATCGCACAATCACGGCGATCACGGCAACAACGCACCCGTACGATTCTCAAATCTTCAATGGGAATTATTTACTCCCATTCGGCACGAAAGATGGTTCAAAGTAAGCTTGCAGCTGAGTTGAGCCAGCTTACGTTTGAATATTCAAAGATGAAGGGCATGCCAATCATGAAAAAGAAACGGCATTTCCAAGCTTATAAACCAATACACGAACAATTACAGCGTGTATGGGCGTCAATGCGTAGTGCTGGATTACTGGCGTATGAAAATCAGTATAATAACTGGCGTGGTTGAGTAGTTATTTAGCAATATATCTGGGTTGCGCGAAAAAATATCGTATTGATGGTAATATCGTATTGAGCGTCGGCACTCGCCTGCGGCGAGTGTCAGCGCAGCTGACTTAGCTTAATAAGCTAAG